TCCATTAGAAAAGCACAGCAAACAATACTGCAGCCTCAGAAGTTCTATACATACTTGTTAGGTGTTCAGGATATAAAATAATCTCCAGTGCTGTAATAGTAAGTAGAGTGGAAGCTGGTTGCATGCCACAGGTGATGGGGACTGCGGTTTCTTCGCCCCTGGATCTTGCGTGTACATGTTTGTTTAATGGCAGGAAGTTAAGAGCCCGGCAAGACATTATTTGCTTTCTTCACTGCTGCATTCGCACTGCTGCTTCACACAGGGCTGCAGTCAGACATTGCCAGAATGTTTTCCTCTGCTTAAATAATGATGCAATTGCTCGGGAGAAAGGGAGAAATTAAAGAGGGAGAGAGAGAAAGGAATAACGGCTTTCAGAGAGACGGTGTTAATGAAACTGCTATTAAAAGAGGAGCCATTGTAATAAAAGTTAAAAGAAGTGAAACTGAATGGCTCGACCATGCAAAAGGACTGAGTATTTTTACTGCACCCCTCTGGTTCTTGTGGTTTCACCCAAACTAAATTAAAAATGAACACCTTCAGGCAACCGGCAGTAAACAAAACTCTTCAAAATAGAGTACGCTTCTATTACAGTGTAACAAATGTGTACTCTTTCATCTACAATAGCATCGTCCCCCCATAAAATGTAGTACAGTCGTTTATGATTAGACAATCTAGAAACCAGACTTGCCAAGTTCTTATAATGAACTAAAGGGGGAAACCCCAGTAATTTAAACTAAAAAGCACAACTAATGAGAAAAGCGCCACCATACCAACATCCTCCGTTCAGGGTTTTTCTTATGTTATCTCTGCCGTATCTTGCTTATGAAAGTGAAGCCTCCAAAACCAACTGGCTGGGCTGCTTGTGATGGAACAGAATGTTCCTAGCGCCACTTCATGCTCGCGGGAACAACACTGACTAGCTGCACATCAGTGCAGGCACCTCCTTAACTATGGCTTGAGTGTGGTTTGTTTCATTGCCTCACCCCAAATCAAGCTGTCAATCAACGAAGCTACTAGGCAAGAGTCACTAGAAAATGGAGCTGCTCTCAGCATTCCACCCCCACCCCCCACCCCCGTTGGCATTTTCCCCCAAACTGACAGTTGCTGCTAATGTAGCCCAGTAATAAGTTAATTCCCCCCTCCTGCCTGCACATTGGTTCAGTTCACAACTGCGGCTCTAGCTCGGCTGCATTTCTGCCTGCATATTCTTTCAGAAAGTGTGAATTAGGTCTGTTTCCCTTTAAATGCAAACGGAATCTCCCATTCCTGCCTGACAGTCTTTACAACTAACAGATGAAACTACTTAAGTGTGCATTTGCATTGCAGTCTTTCAGCTGCTGCCCCACATCAGCTGAGGTTTAGGGGACAGTTAGGCCATCCAGCACAGTGAGAGTGATGCTTATTAAAGTCAAAATATAATTCACAGTAACAGCCTATTGTTTGTTTGGGGGAAAGAGAAATGAAAAGGTGTGGTTACAGAGTGGAAGAGTAGGCGAAAAGGGATAAACAACTGCAAGCTGCAAAGGAGTATGGGTGTTTCTTTGGCAATTGCTAAGATTCCCACACCATCACTCTCACAGGTGACCAGTGGAAAGAGAAATGCTAATATGGCTAGGCAATGCCAGTAGCTGGGTGCCACAGAGACTTAATGGGTGTCAAGTAGAGAGACAGCTGAGGGTGGGAATTAAACTGGGTGGAAGAAAGGCAGACTATGATGAAACAAACCATAGCTAATTGAATAAGGACATCATTTGGCTTAATGGTGGTTTGTTCAATAAACCATGGTTTAATAATGCTTTAATCAGACATGCGAATGGGGCCAAAGTGCTTCTCATACATTATATTACTCAAGAGAGAAAGATTTGCCTGAGTTCATGTTAGCTGAACTGAAATCGGGGACATACTGATTTGTAGAACAGTCTCTTTGCCACTATATTACGCTTGCTTTTCTATGAAACTCCATGCACCCTTAGATCTTATGAAGAAACCCTGCTCTGTGAGCAATCGCAATTGACAGCTAGTTTGTCTACCATAAGGAACAGATCATTCTCTGTTGTGCTGTCACAATGGTTGGATTTCCTCCAAATCTTTATTATCTGAAAGACTGAGAAGAAGGCATCTGGTGTGGGAATATTTTTTCCCCAAATTTGCACTGTGTTTCTTTAACAATTTTATTGCAATATTAGTTTTATTTTATCCATGCGTAGCCTAGCAGTTTATGCGTTAGAGAAAAGTGGCTGAAAAATATAATTAATAGATAATTGACTGGCTTGGCTTCCATTTTCTTCATGGAATCAGTAGAATTTCCAGGAGCTGGTCTAATTTTTTGGTTGACTGCACAGTGGACCTTAATGTTCCAGTTTATGTTCTCATCTAATCCATACCATTTTTATCGGGGAAAGTATTTGCTACCAACATTTAATGTGTTTTCTACAATGCAGCAAGAGAGATTAATGGGAGATAAGAATTGTAAAGCCGTTTGTTAGATTAATGCTCGATAATACACCTTCCAACATTCCAATTAAGGAGTTGGGGGTGTGCTTTGTAATATTTCCACTTCTCATACCAAGGATCACTACCTAAATCCCCTGACTCCCTTCAACACTGTTTCATATGCTAAAGGCTCTGCTACATCGGTGTGCTGTATTTATTAACTCTGCAGTAACCTGTGCCTTCCATTGATTTAAATACTAAGAGAGTGAT